GGCTGATTCGACGCAAACAGACGTTGAGGGCTATGAGATTGAGATTGGTGGTAGGATTGACGGCCCAGCTACAATTGGCCGCAGAACTCGTATCCCCATTAACACGGATCGTGTTACGTTCAGCGTCGGTCCGGGAACTCACGTCCACATTGACTGATTGCGATTGGCCATTTGGTGAGCAGTGCTATCTGGATATTTTGACCACTGCAAATTCTGCATTGGAAGATGATCAAATTTGTTTTGGACACCATTGAGCTGAATTTCGCAGATTAATGCTTGTGGAACATTGGTTATTGGTGGTTCAGTTGATCAGTGCGTGTGATTGTTTGGTTTGATTTTCTGATTTCAGTTGACTGAGTTCCACAGTCATTGGACTCTGCCTGACAGGCATTCTGGGTTTCACTGACATTGGTTCGAAATGATTTTCTTCGTCTGCTGGATGTCTGGCATTACTGCGATTGCGACGATTTTATTTTCATTACTGTGAACTCCTGGGTTGCGCCCTCAATGGATGTCATTCATTGTGGTGGATTCATTGAGGATTCCACCCACATTTCCACAGAACAACTGGTGATTGCAGAAAGTTAGTATTGACATTTCAAATCACATGGCGATTGGGTGATTTGAGATGACTATTTCAGCATTGAGCTGAATTGGTTGTTATCTGCAAACATTGAGTGAAATTCTCTTTTGTACATTGGTGTTGGCAGAACATTGATCAGTGCCTGAGATTTCTTGTCATTGCTTGTGATTCCTTGGTTGGTTAGCTGTTAATGGTTTCCTGGATGGTTGACCGTTCAACTGATTCTTTCTGGATTGATTACAAAGATTTCTGCAACCATTGAGCATTGCACTTTGTTTTGACATTGATTGCTCAGCTGCATTGGTGAAGGTAAGACTTCACTGATGGTCTTCCTGTTTGACATCATTGACCGGAACCTCTCGAATTGTTCCGCTGTGCATTGCGAAAGTGAGCCGATTCTCTGAGCGCGCGTTTCATTGTCCATTACCTGTATGTCTGATTGCCATAGCGCGATTGAATGCAAATTACTTGATTGCAGCTGTACTTGAATTGATTTCTAGTTTGTTCATTGTCGTTGATTGTTTGCTTTGTGGCCATTGATCTAAGATCATTGGCCAAGGGACCGTGTTAGGATACGGTCATTTGCACAGTTCGCATTGATGGTACACAGCATGGCGCTCTGATGTCTTGGACATTCGAATGACCTCATTGGTTGGCTCAAGTCGCCAACTCAGATTGGCCCCAGCAAAAGAGTGATTGCTGAATCATTGCAACATTGAGCTGAGCTTTGTGTTGCTTGATTGACTGCGTTGAGATCAAGACATGAGTGACATGATTGATTCAGTGATTTCACATATTTGCATGTATAGATTGACAGTCATGAAACGACTTCGAAAAATTTCATTAAGGGGGGGGCAAAGGTCAAAGCCCATAAGCCCCCCCTTACGCCCCCCCTTAAGCCCCCCTTTAATGAAATTTTACAATGTCACAATTCAAGCTTTGCGCAATCAGACTGATCTCAACTGATGCAATCAATCACAAGCGCAACGCATCAAGCTGATCTGATGCAATCTCTCAGCACTCAATGTTTTGCTTTGTCTTGAGCCAAACAATCACAATCAAGTGAAATGCTGAATGTACACATGGTGTGCACAATCCGGAGAAGTGATCATGTTTTCCAACACGGTCTCTTGGCCAATGATTTATCAATTGGCCAAATCAATCACTTCATATCAAACAACAAACTCAAAGTTGGCAGAATTCCAAACAATCACTCAACTATTCAATCAGCTCACTCAAATGCTAATGCAGGCTCAATCACCCTTGTCACTCTTGCGCAATCTGGAAATGCACAGACAATCCATAGCATCTTGGAAAGTGCAATCCCCGGAATCCAGTTCCAATGATCAGAATGCCAGGTCTCAGTTTGTCGCAAATTCATATGAAAGGCCAAACTCAACGTCCCAGAAAATCACCAACGCCAACGTCTGAGACAATGTTCGAACATGTCAATATCTTTGAACATCAATGCAATCCAGTACAGTCAAAAGGAATCTGCATCAACGCGCTCAATCATCTAACCATGACTTTTCGCTCGCCAATGACAATTCTCACAGGTGGCAATGTCGGAGGTGACGTGCTGGATGACCCAATGGCAGTGACGCCGTCCAAATCAATCTCCATGCCTGACTCATCAATGTCTGTGAGCGTTCCATGAAAACATGGAGTCAATGTCTGCGGAATGAAAATGTGCCGCAGTGTCTTCCAGCCATGAGAATGCGCGCAATCAGCAAACAGATACGACAGTGTGCCAATGCTCAGTCCAATGTCAATCAGAAAGCAATGGTTCTGTCGCCATTCTGTCAATGCCCAATTGCCAGTCGTAATTGTAGTCAATAGGGTGCAATTGTTGTTGGTGCATTTCTGACCCAGTCAGAAGTCAGTAATTGGCACGACGTGGGCAACTAGATTAGCAGCTACATTGAGCTGCTTGTAAACATTGGGGATACAATTGAGCGCATGCCTTCATGATTTCGCAAGAAACTTCAAGATTCGTTGATCTGGCAATTCGCCTATTGAGACTATTGATGGCAAAATGTATCAGGACTGTGTTGCCTGATGGTGAGCTGGTACATTGTGTGGCAAGTTTGGCATTGCGGTGATTGTGCATTTCGATGCGTGGACTTCATTTGAACGGGCCAGTTGATTTGGCCAGTGCATTTCCAAATGAATTCCTTTACGAATTTCTGGGTATGCGTTGCGTTGCCATTGCAGGTTCTCCAGCTTGTTTCTGCGCCTCAATTTGAAGTGGATTGCACAAATGTGGCTGGATATGGACAATTGAATTTGTCATTCACGGTCTTTGGTGCATTGAGCAAAGTGTGTCATTGGTATCGCCAAGGACGCATTATCCCAAATTGGACTCAGGGCATTGGATTGCTCATTTTCCATCCTTCCATTGGACAAGTTGTTCCTATTTACAAGGACCCACTTACTGGAAAGGGCAGATTGCTCAACTACCACAATCAATCATTTGTGACTGGCAGCCTGAGGCAATACTGAATGTCAATAACCCATGGCAACTACACAATGACTGGCGAATGCGATGTCAATGAAAAAACGTGCTTTATGATTGCAATGTTCAGCAAGGCGCAAAAAATGAAAACAGAATGTCGAAATCAATCTCCAACTGAATCTCATGCAAAATCTTTCGCAAGAAAAATCAGGAAAATCAAGGTTGTTCACACTGTGTGTACAATGTAGTATGGTACCTACAACGCACGCAAAAATGGGCTCAAATGAAAACTTGAAGCTCCACAAGCTCCTTGGGTCTCCCAATGGGTTTGTCAGGGAGGATTAGCTGGGTGGGTGGGTGGGCCCACTTAGGTTTGGTTATGCATCCTTATGCCTGGCGAAAGCCCGAGGAAAATTCAAAAACCTCTTGCAGAATTTTGTTTGGTTGGCAAACTCCGTGCTTGAGTGATTTGATCGCATGCCTATTGCTTGACACTTGATGTTTCGGTGATTTATGGCACAAGAATCAATTTGGTTGTGTAGGGGACGGGAGACCGTTGGCGCAATGGTTTCAAATATTGGTCCTCCAGTGCATTGAGCCTTGTGTGTCTGGTGGTACACGCATACTGCTTTCACATTTGCTGGGCGACTGGATTGGCTGGAGGATCAGTCGTTATTGCATCAGCAGCAAGGGGAGTGGTGTGCTGTTCATATCTGCATACTGGAGAGGCACATTGCAAGGTTGGACGATCGTATCGACTCCCTCGAGGCACGATTGAACGCTGCTGAAAGTTTTGGTAAGTCCTGGCTACATTCGCTTGGAGTGAAACTGGCGCAGTTGCGTAAATTGCTTTGGTGCAAGCGCCGGAGACGTGATTGCCCGCATTTACTTGCAGTATGAGTGTTTGGGAATATCTCAGATCGGTTGATTTACGTTTTGTGGCCGCTGCGCAGAAGCTTTACAAGACACCATTGCGTTTGCGTGGGGCCTTTGATGATTTGCAAGGGGCTTATGATCTCGTTTCAGAATTACTGAGTGCACAGCTGAGTCCTGACATATTCAACGAGATTGGACTCCAATTGTATACATGGAAGGAACGGATGGAGGAACACGGTCCTGGGCCCGTCAATTTGCTCTGCAGGTCGATTGCTGAGCGCCCGTCTAAGATTCAGTGGACATCGCCATTTGTGGGCGAGGTATTTGAGGAGCTGGTGGCGGGAGGTCCGAGCATCTCACTGGCAGCATTGAATCGCGCTCTGAAATCCCGGAGGCGTACAGGGCAATCTGCTGAAGAGCTAGAGCGGGCGCTCGAAGAGAAATGGAGTTTGGTCCTTGTGAAATTCATTCAAGAGGCCGGTCTGCCTGTGTCAGAGCGGATGGAAGCCATCAATGCAGATAGCAAAGCCTGGATCAGACTCTTCGGTGGAAGGAGGGGCAAGTCCTTGCGCAACAGAGCTCGAGAATGGGCGACATTCAGCGAGTGGCTACGGGCATCTCATGGTGAGGCATGGCCTAGCAATGTGGGACGCATTTTGCGTTATCTCGAAGAAAGACATGAGATCAAGCCCATAGGCAAGTCTGTCCCGAAGGCACTTCTTGCTTCGGTTTCGCTGTTGGAAACGATTCGCCAAGTTGCTCCTGACGCAAGATTCAGTGGTGACCCTATCTTAGTGGAGACAGTACGTTCCTGGACAGCGGACTTGGAAGCTGCGGCTCCGGCAGTCAGGCAGGCACCGCTTTCTACGATCGCGATCATGCTGTCAATGGAGCTGCTGCTCTGCGCAACTTCTCAACCTTTGGGACTGCGGTTTGTGGCATTCTGTGGATTGCTGATGACTTGGTCAACTTTGCGAGCCGACGATCTGCAGCATGTGGATTTGAAGTCGGTCAGGCTTTCCCAAGTGGGGCTTAAGTTCTGTCTGCGGAAGACCAAGACTAGTGACTAGTGGGCCTGGACGCAAGGTCGGCCAGCTTTTTGCTTATGTCTCTCGATCAGCTGGACTTAGCGGTTTCGATTGGTTGACAGAGGGCATGCGTCTACTATCAAATGAGCAGTTGTCTTGGTCAAGAGATTTCTTCTGCCCTGCGATGAGTGACACTTGGGAAGTGCAGAAGAACATGATCTTGGAGGCCGAAGGTCTAGCGGTGTTGCTGCGCAGGGTGTTGGGCAGTCTTCGCGAGCCGACCGTGAAGAATGGTGCGTGGGCAACTTCTAGAAACCTCCTTGTGCCAGATACATTACGAACTTACTGGAGTGGGGCATAGTGCCCGGCACACTTTACCAAGTATTGCTGCAGCATTGGATGTAGGAAAAGATCGTCGAGATTTCCTCGGCCGTTGGTGCTATGCGCAGCATGGTTCACAGGACTATATCTTGACTTCGCGTCAGGTGGTGCACGGCATTCAGAATCTGATTTCTAAAGCTATCTTGGAAGGTAGTGCTGACGGAGGTTACATCGAAGAGGAGGTTCTTGCTGGAGTGAAGCAAGCTTGTGCTGTTCTGGCGTTGGACCAGTCGGTCATCCTTCGGAGGCATATGGTGTCCAAATGGGATGCCGCTGCAAAATGTTGGAAGCTTCATGGGAGGTATCCTCATTTCATGATCCCCCCGGAGCAATTGCAAGGGGCTTCTGGTGACATAGGGGCTCAATTGCCGGGTCCTTTCCATGCATGGAGTGCTGAGGAGAGTCTTGGCGAAGCTCCTTATTTCGTGACTGTGTCGCGCAAAGGTCACAGGCGGCTGCGTCTTGCTAAGGCGTGTGCCGTGAGACAGGAGAGATGTCTAGAGACCATTGGCATTTTCACCTTGGAGGAAACGGCCGCAGATTCCATTTGTAAGCTTTGCAAGCCCAAGTTGGCCAGCGCTGCCAGCAGCTCAAGCAGTGGGTCTGAGGATAGCAACGTCGTTGGTTTTCAGGCTGAAGCTCCAGCGGCTCCGTTGGCATCAGGCGGGGATTGAGTGACTGCTTGCAGAGAAAATTTTGCACTTGCATTTGCTTTTCGGTCGACTGTTTTGATGGCAAGACTTTTGCATCTGCCTTGTCCGAAGTTATCCGGTTGTCCATTGTAGTAAATGAATGTGCCCGGCACATTTGGCTCGGGTCGAATTGAGCCCTTGGTTGTTTGATGCAAGTCCTTTGGACTTGAGAGAAGCCCCGGTCGCAAAAGGGCAAGAGAGCTGTGCTCCAAAGAGTTTGAGTGGTCGCTGAAACCCTCGGTCGAAAGGGGGAAATTCTCAGGTTGCCATGAGTGCAGTGGATCTCCCGGAAGGTGTGACGCAGGACGCTGCTCTGGATTACTTTGAGAAAAATCTGACCGCTGAGCTGCTCCACATCTTTAATGAATGTGGCGTTCCTGTCGGGTTGCAGTACAAGCTTGGTCAGCGTTTCAAGAACGTGAAGAATCTTATGCTGATAGCAGGTCGGATGTGAGAGCTGCGCTTAAGGCAGATCACTCTCTCGAAGCCACCAACCAAGACACGCGTGCAGCGGTGGCCTCAGTGGTTTCGGCTTGGGAGTCATGCCGTGAGTTCAGTGCGAAGGAGAGTGAACTCAAAGCAGAAGCCAGGGTATTGGGAGTCAGCCGGCCGATCACCCAAACGGAGCATCAAGCCATGCGAATCTCACACGAGAAAACTTTTGGGAGTCTTGATGAAGTGGTTGAGCCGTCGGCTGATTATCTTTCGACCAAAATGGAAGAAGTCGAGAATGGTGAGATTGTGGCGTCGCCCCTGTCAGATGTCACCAGCAAACGGAAGGTGAAGACCCTCAGCGTACAAACCAGTGTTGACGCTGGAGGACATGTCAGGATCGTCAAGCAACGCAACAAAGGATCGTTGCCACAGAACACAGAAGATCTTCGTACTGCTTTGCGCGTGGAAGGAAACACTTGGGTGTTCCTGGGAAGTAAATACAAGAACAAGGTCTTCTTCAAAGATCTGACGCCGTCTGTCTGGCTCGATTACATGATTACAGCAATTACTTGCTGGGTGACAAGGTTTACCTGATGCAGATCCCCTCGCCGTCAGGGAAAGGCAAGTCGGAGCAAGTGGCATTGCGTCCTCCCTGGACGGTGATGATCAATTACGAGTTTGAGCTTCGAAAGGAGGCCGTCAAACGTGCCTTTCGAGACAGTCGAGCTCTCAAGGACACGCTGTTGGAGGTGCAGAATGATGCCCAGCTCAAAGAGCAGTTCTTTACATCACCGATTGCGTTGCAGCATCGTGGCATGCCTGCCCCGAACACTTGGTGGTATGAGCGTCTCAGCGGACAGCCATGGAAATGGCGTTGCAATGACAAGGGACCTGGCAAAGGCAAAGGGAAGGACTCCCGCAAAGGCAAGGAACAGAAGGGCAAGAAGGGCAAAGGGCAAGGCCACGGCGAGCTTGCCAGCCGCACTCCGGATGGTAGGATGATATGCTTCGCCTACTCAACGTCGGGGTGTCCAGGCGATTGCGGGATGGTTCATTGCTGTCAGGTTCGTGGATGCTTTGGGCAGCATCCAACTTGGAAGCATTGGCAGGAACACTTTGCAAAGGCGAACGCCAAAGCCACGGACAGCAACAACTGACTCCGCGTGCTGTATCTTTTTGCTGGGCAGAAACGCTCTGGGGACATTGCGTGGCATTTGTGCGAATTCAGTAAAATCCATGGCTCTCATCTTGAAGTGGACGAGTGGGACGTCCTTAGAGATCCCAAGGCTGACCTTTCATCACCGCAAGCGTGGGAATGAAACATGGATGCGTGGGGAAATCCTTCCGTTGCAGCCTGGTCCAGCATACGTGCATGCACGAACCCGCTATCATGCTACAGAGCCTTGGCAAGGTACTAGGTGCATTCTCATCGCACATTTGCCGGAATCCATTGAGTCTTTGCCGTGCAGCAAACACCCAGCGCTTGCAGTTGGTTGGCTTTCACTTGCCTTCAGCCCCTTCGGCGGGGGAATCTTCGTTGGCTTCAGGCAAGCTTGCGAAACACGTTGTCCAAGTGTGTGGCACAGCCTTGGCGGGGCAGCAAGAGCAGCAGGTGCATCACATGTCACGGGATGCAGGCCAAGCAACCCAGCAGGTGCAACAGGTGCATAAAGGTTCTCAGGCGCGTCATGAGTTGGAGGTGATCTCTAGTGATGACGAGCATCAAGGTGGTGCGGGGCCCATCCAAGTCGAAGAGCCAGAGGAACCCTTCAACCCGTCCTTAAGCGGCGCTTTCGTTCAGCCAATGATTTGCAGGTTCGAGATGTGCAAACGCGAGATTGTGGATGGGTTCGGCCTGTGTTCTCCTGGCAGGTGGACCCCTGCAGCCAGGGAACGTCTGATGGATGCAGCGCAGACAGGCCATGCAAGGACAGTCAGGAACCTCCTTGAAAGGTTCGTTCGTGAGCAGTTGGGGGATGTGAAGAAATTCTCATTCATGCTGGCAACCGGGAAAATCTTGAGCTCACCCTTTTCTGAAGAAGCATTGTCTGGTCTACGTAAGAGCATTGCAGCGACTCTCAGTGGCCCAGCAGGAGCATTGGAGGTTCCGGAAAGGCAGCCGTTTTACTTGTACTTGCTTGCACAGTCCCTTCAAATTTTGGGCGACCCAGACTGGGCAATCCTCACTCAAGGGGAGGAGTGCCATGCAAACGGTATGCCTCTTGGGCATGACAAGCCATTGCCGCGCGTGCCACAGGTTTTCAGGCGGAGGTTGAAATCAAGGAAGCTGGGTGAGACCCCTTTCGATCCCATCATGTCCAACTATGTCTCGGCCGAGTTGTCGTCTGAACAGCTAGAGGCGCAGTTCCGCAAGGATGCAGAGCAAGGGATGATGATTGCAACTACTAGGGAGCTGTTAAACAGGAGTTCGGGCCCGACCAGCTCCTCATAGCAGCGATGGGGGCAATCAAAAAACCGAACGGCGATGTAAGACCCCTACACGATGCCACGCACGGCATCAACCTGAACAATAGAATACAGATTGCTGATCGGTTGGAGGTCGCAGGTCCGGCAGACATTTTCGAAGTGGTTGCGTGCAGCTGATGCAAAGGAGGTGGCCTTTTGCATATGTGCCGATATCGCGCAGGCCCACAGAAGGGTCAGTGGTTGAATTGTGTCGGGACGTTCGGAGTGAGTTCCGCGGCGATCCTTTGGACCCGATGGTTTGGATGTGTTGGAAGATGGGTCCTCAGAGTTCTTGGCCCAAGATGGAATCTCCCGGTGATCTTTGTGGATTCGTGGATGATCTTCACATTGTTGTGATGGGTGCAGACAAATTTGTTGTCTTGTGGATGGTTCATTCCACAAATTTAAAGGGGGTCTGGTGGCCGAGTTCATCGGATACTATTTGTCGTACGAGACTTTTTCAGCTGGCCTTTCACCAAAGCGGGTCAAGTGGGTTCTGGAATGGATCGGAAATGCCGAGAAGAACAACTGGTACGTAACGGGCCGGGGGTTTAGCGAGTTCCTGGGGAGGCTAAACTTCGTGGCAAGATTGCTCAGCTGGATTCGTCCCTTCTTGGCACCTCTGTTCGCCTTCAATGCCGTGCTGCGCCGGGGCACTGTTGCACGCTTGCCTGCGATGGCTTTCATCTCCTTGTGCTACGTCAGAGATGAGCTGAAATCTTCAAACGGCCTGCAGTCAGTGAAGCAGACGTGGCTGGCTCCGCGCGAGTCATTCAGGACGGATGCCAAGTGTGAGACCGGTAGGGTTGTGTTAGGTGGCTGGTCTACCAAGGCCGGCCTAGGCCTAGACCCGGTGCTTTCCCCCTGGTTTTCCCTAAAGGTTTTCCCTAGCGACCTGCCTTGCCTGTTTAAGGATGGAGAGTCTGGTTGGGCCTCTACTTCCGCTGAACTTTTGGCGTCTCTTGCAGCATTGGTTGCCTTTGGGCATTTGGCGCAGCCGATCCCGGGAGCACAGGACTGCATGCAGGTCTTTGTGTGTGGGGAGACGGACAACCGTTCGACCCCTGAGGTCCAGCGCAAGGGCCTGTCGAACAAGTGGCCATTGTTTGGGATACAGATGGCAGCGAGCAAGGCATTGCGCAAGGTGAACAAAAGGTTAATGCTTAATTGGCGTCCGCGTGAAGAAAACACTTGGGCTGATGATCTCACCAATGGCGATTTCCATGCCTTTGACCCTAAGCGTCGTGTCAAACTGACTTTCGCGATGCTTCCGTTGGGGCTTCGTGCTGATCTTGATGCATCGAGGGCCGAGTTCATTCAGGCAAGAGCTACATTGGTCTCCTTGAAGACCAAAGAGGCAGCTATAGGTAGGCGTGAGAAGGAAGCTACCAAGACCGCGTGGTAAGCTTGCCAGGAGTGCGCTGTTCCCTTTGGGTGGGGGATTTGCGTCACACGCCTGC